TTGTAGCATGGGAGCCCAGGAAGGGGTTGGAGGCCAGGTGACTCCTTGGCCTGGGAAACTGAACAAAGGCTGTGGGAGGGGTCACTGAAGGCAGAGTGCTGGAAGCGAGCTGGAGAGATGGCTGGGAGGCAGAGATGGCTCTGACCCCCCCAAAGGGGGGTGGGCTGGGATGCCCTGGGACCCCAAGCTGGACTTAACTGAGGGGGTCCTGTTGTCTGGGCCTGCAAGACCTGTCTTGGACTGTATTCCTGTCATCCAAATAAACCTTCTGCTTTACTGGCTGGCTGAGAGTCATGGTGAATCGCAGGAAGCCGGGGGTGCAGGGCCCTGAGTCCCCCAATACTCCATGACACTAACCTCTAGCTAACTTCAATGGGAGTTAAGGGTGTTACCCCGGGTCCTTTGAGTGCCCACTGACTGAGGCCATAGGAGTGCATAGGATTACCAGGATTCCCTGGATCTGATCTCTATGTAATCAAAGGGTGTCATGTAAAGCCTTTACTGGATGCCTGTGCCACACAGATCATCATAATCATTGCACAGTGACTGGATGGATAATATATAAGGCGCTATGGTTGTATATTGAAATTTATGCTTTTAAGGTCTGAGAGTTGGGGTTGGTCACCAGAAAGCGATCAACAAGTTTCTTTCAGGCAGGAGATGCTTATCTGCCTATTTGGCTATATATAGACTGAGTAATTATTCACAGTGGATGCTAAGCAGTTGAACAAAATTCTAATCAAGTGATTGCAAAGTCTCCAGAGGAGATTCGTTACAGGAAAAACAAACAAACAATGGGGGGTACCCTGTTTACAAGTGAAGACAATGGATGCTTGGAACTATATCTGGGGGTCCAGAGGTATCCTGTACCAGGTATCCTTCACCTATTGGACGAACTGCCAGCTGACTTGTCTCATGAATGGAGGATCACATTTGGTCTGGGTGTTTCATGCTGGGAGAGAGATTTGGGGGAGCTGTCCTTTGTGAGACAGGGGAATGTTTGCTTATCTAAGTTTAAGCTCTAGAAGTGTGTTATGATTTTATTTTTTTGTAACCATTTGGTTACATTAATTTTACTTTCTGCTTCTCAAATCTCTGATCTTTGTGAATTGAACTCTGCTTGTTTTCACTATAAATGTATCTAAGGGTGTTAAATGGAGCGGTGATGCTGAGGTGACACTGGTGAGGTGGTGTGTAGCAAACCTATGAATTCTGTGAGTGTCCAGTGGAACAGGGGCTGGACATTCTGGGGCTGCACAGAGGGCTCGGCGGTTGGAGTGTACCGATTGCTTATCTGTAGAAGGACAGTGGAGCTGGATGGGGTGAGAAGGGTGTGCTTGTGTTTCCTGTGGCTGGCAGAGTCAGGAGCTGACACCTGGCAGGCACAGAGAAGGCTTTCTCATGCTAAGGGCAGGTGGTAGTGAGGTACTTCACAACCCTGGGGACCCTCGGGAGGTGGCATAAAGGGTCCATAACACTTCAGAGAAGGTGCCTGGTCCTTCATAGTCCAGGGCCCTTTGTTCAAAATTTATTAGACCCATTCTCCATCCACTATAAAATCACTCCTGAATGGTCAGATTTCTTGGCTCCATCTCATTCTCCAATTCACTGTCCATCTGGGTTTGGGGACTGAGAGGAATCATCAGGCAAAGGTTAAAGAACAACAGGCAGAGGAAGTCTGGGTTGTTGATGTTTATAGTTCTGAATAGGGAAATAATCTTCCCATGACACCTGAATATTGGACGGTTTACAACAGAGAACAAGGAAGCAAAAACAAACAAACCCCACAACAACCCCAAACTTCTTGCAAGTATTAGAGGGGTAGCCGTGTTAGTCTGGATCTGTAAAAAGCAACAGAGAGTCCTGTGGCACCTTTAAGACTAACAGAGGTATTGGAGCATAAGCTTTCGTGGGTGAATGCCCACTTCGTCGGATGCATGTCATCCGACCAAGTGGGCATTCACCCATGAAAGCTTATGCTCCAATACCTCTGTTAGTCTTAAAGGTGCCACAGGAAAATTCTTGCACTTAACCATCTGCTTTAACTCTTGTTTTACACTCAGTTCCTAAGAACATCTCTGGAGACGATAGACAACAGTGCCTGGAGCAGCCAGATAAGCCTTGAGTTGAGCCAGCAGAAGGCCAGCTATGCCAGCCCTTCCAAAGAGAAGGTTTGTTATCTGTTAAGGCTTAGTTTCTAGTTAATTTCCCTTGAAATTCTGATTGGGGGGCTGCATAAGGCTTCTCTCAAGGCTTCATTACTTTATATTATTCTGCATATAAAATTTGTTTTTACTTGTTCCCTGCTCTCTTGCCCCCCGCCCACCCTTCCAATATTTGCTTGGACAGGCTGCTTGTCTGTACTGCATTGTTGGTTCTCTGGCTGGGCTAGATGATGGGATGTTTCTGCAGTATGGATTCTTGGACTTGGCTATCTTGTTGCTTCCTGAGTGTTGCTATGCTGGGTCTGTACTGACAGGCACGTTGTGTTACTGATATCTCAGGGCTGGTCTCTTTCTTTCAGAGTTTCCTGTATAAGGTGCTAGGAACGTCCTTAGCAGTTTGTCAGGACCTGGTCCACGTTAAATCACAGACTCATAAATTTCTGACAACAACAGATTATATGGAAGCCCCTGAGAGAGAGGTGAGGACTCTGTCCCGCTCCCAACTTGACCAAGTAATCCCTGAATGCTCCCTGTGGGGCTCAGCTCTGAGTTGGCCTGGGACAGATGCCATTTTGCTTCATATCCTCATTGCTATTTCACTCAGCCCCCTCCCTCTCCCCATGTGTCTCAGGCCTCATTGGCACTTTACACCACTTCAGGTGAAAGGAATGGAGTCGTGGGGTCTATCAGGCACCTGGTTAG